GCAGTAAATACATTTTTTTAAGGGTTTAAAAATAGAGCTTTACAGAGGCATCTCTGGGGAGCCAAGGCTCATGTCAAGAGCTTATACTTAGCTCCGAACAAGAAGATGAGAAAGGGGTGCAGCTATACTTCAGTGGAAGGACAGGATAGAGAAACCATCCTGACATCTGCTCAGTGTGTGCACATAGCCATTTGGTAAAAACTTTACTCAGTCTGTACTTCTTATTTTCTGGTTATTAGCATTCATCTTAGATTAGCTCCCAAAGGGCAAGAAGGCATATTGCTAATTTGCCTAATATGGTGCATAGCATGGTGGCATGGCTGATAACTATTTCAGTGATAATTAAAAATATTTTTTCCTCTGCCAATAGTTCTTATTTAATCAAGCCAAAGTCAGTCCGTGTACCAGAGAACTATTCTGGGGCTTTGATTGAAAAAAAAAAAACACAGAAGATTTTAATCTCTTTTCTGAAAATACCCTAAAACAGGAACAATGCTGTTTTCATAAACCTGACTCAAATGCCATTCAACTATCACCAAATTAATTTTTATAACTACAAAAAAAAAAAAAAACCCCACATGTGCAGAAGAACAAAGGCCGGATAAAACTGGAGATGGGGGTGAAGGGGATCATACGCCGGTATAAATCATTACGTGTGACTTTTTCTCTTATTGCGATTTCTAGAATTATTTTTTTTTTTTTAAACATTTTTAATGTTTATATTTGGAGAGAGAGAGAGTGGGAGAGAGACAGACCATGGATGGGGTTGGGGGTAGAGAGAGAAGGAGACATAGAATCCCAAGCAGCCTCCAGGCTCTGAGCTGTCAGCACAGAAGCCCAACCTGGGGCTCAAACCCGCAAGCTGTGAGGTCATGACCTGAGCCGAAGTTGGACACTTAACCGACTGAGCCACCCAGGCGCCCCTCTAGAATTATGTCATGAACAGTAATTTTGTATATGCTTAGAGTGAAAAGAATCACCCCATTTCTTTCGTGGTAGGGCTCTTGGACTGGCAGCTGATGGTGACACCATGAAATTAAAGAATAAACCTCTAGTTGAGGTCTTAATGTCTACCCGCCTAGGATCTTCCTTCCCCGTTTCACAGATACACTCAGCATAAAAAGTGGTGAAGGCCTGGCCAGCTGTAGGAGCTAATGAAATGGTCATATGAGCCCATTTTAAAGCTGAGGACACCAAGGCTCAGAGATGATCACAGCATCTTGAGCATTAGAAGGGACGTTGAAGGCCTCTCATCCAAGCCTTTTGCCCTGAAGAGAGAGGTTTAAATTGTGGCCCATGTTACACAGCTTGTAAACTGATGGAGCCAGAACTTGAGCCTGTTGTTCTAACGTGGGGTTCCTCCCCAGCTGCCTCACTCCTTGCTTGGGATCTTCTTGCCTTTGTGAGGGAAAGCTGCCCAAGAGTGAGTTCCTGGTAATTTCTGGGGCTACCGACGTCCTGGTAACAGTCTTACCCTCAGGCTCCCGTGCTGGCCCTGCGGAGGGCCTCTGTAGCGCTGCACCATTCAGGCACCGTCTTGACTCTCCCCTTCCCTGGTTCAGGAGCTGCCGTACCACGTGGGTCCGATCTGCCTCCTGGTGAGCTCTTATCCTTAGCAGCCTTGACCTTAAAGACCTCTCTGTGCTCTTGAATCCAGTCCAAGATTCTGGCTCTGGAAGAAGGTAGAGAAGGGTTGTGCCCTGTGAAACCCTGACCTCATCTTGCGACCTGGACATTCTTCCAGTGATTTTTTCTTATCAGACATCTGGTTTTTCCAAACTGCTTTGAGACCAAGATAAAACACACCCATTTACAAGGTGTAGCTCCTGACTGAGGTTCCCCAGCAGCTACTTCTTACACCTGAGGGTCCCAGGGTGACATCTCTGGCCCAGGGCTCCTCTCTCAACTGCTGTTCCGGGTCTTGATTGGTATTTACAATCTCCTCCTTTTCAGGAAAGAAAATGGAAGGAAGGAAAGGAGGGAGGAGGGGAAGGGAGAGAAAGGAAAGGAGGAAAGAAGGAGGGAAGGAAGGAAAGGGAGAGAAGAAAGAAGGGAAGAGGGAAGAAGGAGAGAGGGAAGAAAAGAAGGGAAGGGAAAGAGGAAAGAAGGGAGGGAAGGGAAGGAAGAATGAAGGAGGGAGGGAAGGAAGGAAGGAGGGGAAAGGAAAGGAAAGAGGAGGGGAGGGAGGAGGGAGGAAGAACTTAGAATTTGTGATACTCAACTCTAAGAACATACTTGATACAAAGTTTTCAGTACTAAATACAGTAACCTTTTCCTGGTGATCACCACCTCTGATAGCTCTGAAATGGCTTTGTGGTAATTCTTTTATCTCTCCCATAAAACCCACATCTGGACAAAGGCTGAAAAACAGCAAGTGCTTTCCTTTCTCATCTCCCTGCATTTATTTGGGGTAGAAATGATTAGAGGCACAGTTAATCAGCAGTAATATAAACCCTAAGACTGGAGCTCATGGAGTTCTTTTGCCCCTCAACAGAGTGCTTCTGTAGCTGTTTTCTGAGCAAAGACACATCTCCTTTCTTTTTACATACAGAGCCGCCTTTGACGTACAAGCCACACGTTTACTTGAGACAGCCTGAATAGTATGAGAGAGAATGTCTCTCTGTTTGGGTTTTTTTTTTAAACGCTGGTACTATAGAGTATATCCTTACAGCGTAAAAGACGTATGTTTCATATAGAACAGCGGAACATAGGCAATTTATGAAGTAGGAAGTGAGCACGACATGTTTTTTTTAAAATTCACTTAAAATATTTTGAATCCTTGGCATTCTTAACCATTCAGGGGTCTCTAGCCCTGGGTTTTGAAATACGAACCAACTAGGATTGAAATTGGACGTGTGTGTGTGTGTGTGTGTGTGTGTGTGTGTGTGTGTGTCTTAGCTATAATAAGAGAAGGGTTTGAGTGTGTTTGTTCCAAAAATATTTTAAAATGGCTGATCAGAAATACATTTAGAAATGCCTGCATGAACAAAGAGATCAAGACAAAGGTGGAATGTGTAGGAAACTAAAATTAAATCAGGGATAAGGTTACCATGTGGCTATACCGTGTGGGGCTCCTTTATTCGGCCTGCTAACTGCCACAGGGAGCACAGCAGGATTTAAATGAAAACTCTAGTGTTGATTATAATTCACATCTCTTTTCATTACCCTCTAGCTCTTAACTTGCCCAAGCAACTGTAAATTTTCAGACTCATTGTCTGAGTTTGTAAAGGACCATATCCAATTATCCCCTCCTTGACTCTTTCTACCCTTTGTCACTGTATTTCTGGTTAGCGGAGGAAAAAAGATGTACAAGTCATCGCAGTCCATCTTATCTGTTGACTTAAAAAAGAGGGGGTTGGAAGGGCATGGTGCTCCTAACTAGTGACTCTGGATCTCAGAGTTGTGAGTTCGAGCCCCATGTTGGGTGTAGAGATTGCAAATAATAATAATAATAAATGTAAAAAAAAATGAAAATAAAAATTAAAAGGGGTGACCTGGGAAGGAGCAGAGTGTAGGAGTGGGAAGGAGTAAGGCAGTTAGATATTAGGACCGTTTGAAATCTGAGATTTGTAGTTAGCAAAGCCAGCACAAGGAAAGAATTCATGTAGACACCTCTGAGGGCACGCTTTCGGAGAACGTGCACTTGATCCTTGAACAACACAGGTTTGAACTGTGCAGCTCCATCTACACACATTTTTTTTTCAATAAATACAGTCCAGCACTGTAAATTTATTTTCTCTTCCTTATGACTTTTTTTTTAATTTTTTTTTATATTTGAGAGAGAAAGAGAGAACCAGAGCCTGAAGCGAGACTTGATCTTATCAGCACTGAGATCATGACCTGAGCTAAAGTTGGATACTTAATTAACTGAGCCACCCAGGTGCCCCATGACTTTCTTAGTAACATACTTTCTCTAGCTCACTTTATGATAAGAAAACAGTATACAATACACGTAACATACAAAGCATGTGTTAATTGACTGTTTTTGTTTATCAGTAAGACTTACAGTCAACAGAAGGCTGTTAGTAGTTAATGTTTTCGTGGAGACAGAAGTTACACATGGATTTTCAACTGTGTGGGGGTTGACACCCCGGACTCCAGCATTGTTCAGGGGTCCACTGTATAACATTTCTTTATTTTGAACATTTTCCTACACTCACATAATTATAAGCCTTAGTGTCCACAGCACAGATTCAGGAGCCTCTTGAGACCAATTTGGACACATTGTTATCTAGAAATAACTAAAAAAGATACAGAAAGCCTTAGACAACACAGTGGTTCAACAGTGTGTGAATGTAGCAAACCAAGAGAACATTATACTGCTAATAAAATTACAGAAGTTGCATACACAAAGAGTATCATAAAAACTACCATGAGTTTATGAGAAAATGAGAAAAATGAACACTGGTATGTAAACTATAAAATGAACACTGTATGTAACCTATAAAATCAACACCGGTATGGAAACTATAAAACCTAAGGCACCTAGGCTGCCTGGCTGGCTGAGTTAGTAGAGCATGTGAGTCTTGATCTCAGGGTCATGACTTTGAGCCCCAGGTTGGCAGTAGAGATTACTTTAAAAAAACAGACAAGTAAATAAAATGTAAAATACCTAAGGTAAACCAAGAATAAGGGGAGTGTGTAAAAACAAAATAGTCATATTGGGTTGAATAAAATGATGAATTTCTTTTCCTGCCCAGCAGGATTTGGGATGTTTTGTTATTATAATAACTATAATTGGAGGATAAAAGAGATAAAAAACAAAAGCTTCCAAGTGAGGAATATTTTTTATAGACTTGATGAATAAATGTATACTTTTTATTCATTAAAATGTGGTTTGTTTTTTAAGTCTCAAATTTACAGACTCATGGAAGATCATCTAAACTATTTTTCATGCCATTAAAATGTGAGGGTCTCTGGGGGTATTTTTCCATAGAAATGTGTTCAAAAGAACTCATTGCTCTTCCTCTTTTCTTTTCTCCTGTCTTTGCTTCTCTTAGGGATTGCCATCGGAGTCTTGGTTCGAGAATACAGCAAGCTGTCTAGTCTGGAGAAATTCTACTTTGCTTTTCCTGGGGAAATTCTAATGAGGATGCTGAAGCTCGTCATTCTGCCATTAATTATATCCAGCATGATTACAGGTACCGTGAGAAAGCTGATGGTTCTCTGTGATTATTTAAGGAGCTGTCTCTTAAGTTGTTCTTTTCTAATTATGGAAAAAATTGAAATGCATTTGATGCCTCATACACACACACTCTGCTTACTTGGAAAGTATGTATTGGCTCGCGGGGAAATACTGCATTACTCACAGAGTGACACTGCTCTGCCCAGACACTGTCCACCACAGCTCACAGCTTCATTGGGCCAGCCACGTGATATCTTGTGAGGAAGATGCCATTTTCTTTTTTCTTTTCTTTTTTTAATGTTTATTATTTTTGAGAGAGAGGGTGAGCAGGGGAGGGGCAGAGAGAGAGGCGGACAGAGGATCTGAAGCGAGCTCTGCACTGTCAGCACAGAGCCCAATGCGGCACTCGAACTCCATGAACCTTGAGATCCTGACCTGAGCCGAAGTCAGACGCTTCACCACCTAAGCCACCCAGGTGCCCCGCAAGGTGCCATTTTTAAACATACTATAAATAACACTCTACCCAGGACACAGGAATAAAACAAAAACAAAACAAAAACAGGCACCATATTTGGCCACTGAGAATGTCAGCCATTGTCCCCAGGCGAAATGTGGGCGTCAGTTTGGAAGCTGTTTTCAGTGGTTCACTTGTCTGGTTCCCCACCCGCCCTCGGCACCTGCCCTCGGCTTCTTTCTACCTTCCTCGCTGTGCTTCCCCTCCTCCTCATACCTGCCCTTGAAAACTCACAGCCCTGTGCTGCAGGAAACATTTCATTATGGGTTTGCACCGCATTTTAAAAGCCTAGCAAATCTGAACTTATGACACAGTTGGCTTTGAAAAGGCTTTCTCCCTGAGCGGCCGTTCTCTTGCAAGGTGTGTCTACAGAGCAGGCGCCCTGGTGGAGATGGAGATTAATTTGCCTTACAGAAATGTCCCTTGTCTGAGTGCAGTAAGCTTCTAGTGCATTCCATAGTTTCTTGTACTTCCCTTTGCTCTGGCAATAGGTAGAATGTGGCCTGATCATTGCTAGTGTTGTCCACTTGAAAAACCCAGGCTTGATGTAATCCTGTAGTTAGGAATGTTGACGCATCGTCTTCTAGAACATTTTCCCCCACCACCGCTACGAAGACCTGGGGCTGATCTGTGTGGAACATTGGATGTTGGTCTAGGGCGGGGGGCGGGGGGCCAGCATCTGCTGTACTGAGCTGTAGGTTTGGCTTTTGAACTTTTCAAGTGCCAAACTCCAGTCAGATTAGAATCTCCTGGTCTGGGTATCCTTGGCTTATTACCAGCCTAAAAAGAGTGTTTAATTATTTTTATGTATGTATTTAATTATGTTTTGAAATGCCTGGCTTCTTTTAGGCCCTGCAGCCTGAGGGCCAAATCAGCAGGCCAGTGCTTTGTACCGCGTGTTGTTTATCCGTTCAACTGTAAGTTATTGTAAGCATCTGAAGTTTGGAAGATTTCATGTAGGCATCTGGACTTCTGGCTTCCTCTGAAAAGAATTAAGATCACAAAACACTGGATCCATGTCCCCCCACCTCCCCAGGCCAAGAGTGATCTGGAGCTAAGAGACAGCTACTCTATGTAGTTTGAAGCTAATACGTTTGAGGATACCACAGCCCCCCACCCCATCATCTGACCCCTCGCCTATGGCACTCATTTATCTGCTGGCCCAGTAGGGGTTGCCTTTATGGCCCCTTAGAATTTTCTCAGCATCAAGATTCTAAATCTCTTCTGAGGCTCCTTTGAAAAGATGATGAAAGCTTTAGAGTCTCTCCCAAGGAAAACGTTCACAGTTTTACATAGAATACTATACTTTGCACGCACTTGGCATGAGGTACATAAATCACTTGATGATCGATACCACTTAAAACTTGGGTCTGTGGAGGAACGTATGGAAAGTTGATCCAAATTAGGCAGCAGATCTAAAACTCATGCGTTAAACCAAGTTTGGGAGAAGAGGTAAAAATACATGTATGAATATACTAGTATAATATGTGGTGTTTGAAATATGTATCACTTCTGGCAGCCAACAACTAGTGATATTTTTGCAGTTGGGCTGTTCCGTGTGCGAGCTCAGCCTTACAGATAATCTAGGAAAATAATTTGCAGCCCTCAGCACTCCGCTCACCACAGAGCCCAGCTGCTTTTTGAAGCTATATCATAGGTTTGGAAAGTTTTTTACAAAAATTTTAATGTTTATTTATTTTTGAGAGACAGAGCACAGGCAGGAAGGGGCAGAGACAGAGGGAGACACAGAATCTGAAGCAGCTCCAGGCTCTGAGCTGTCAGCACAGAGCCCAGTTCAGGGCTTGAACTCAGGAACCTTGAGATCATGACCTGAGCCAAAGTCCGACACCTAACTGAGCCACCCAGATGCCCCCTGGATATTTCTACATTTTCCTTTACCAAACCCCTGGCAGTTAAGTGAGTAACAGAGTGCAGAACCACTACCCCATTCTGTTGCCCTGAGCGAAAGATTCAAGGGACATGAGCAAAGCAGGATGGAAACAGTGAGCCCATGTTCATGTTCTAAATTGTCAGATTAAAGGGGGAAAGTAGTATCACTAGTGCAGGCACGGTTGTGGGAAAACGGGCTCATTCATACATTTTCAGTTTGGAACAGATTTGGTGGGGGGCAGCTTGGGACATGTTCTGATCCCTCCACTTTGTAATTCTGCTTCTCAGAATTTCTCGTAAATAATCAGAGATACATTCAAAGATTTAGGTACAAGGATGTCCATGGTAGCATTACTTCTATAACGGTGGTGAATTATAAGCTGTCTCAGTGGAAGTTAAACACCTAAGTTATGATTCTCTACAACTATTAAAAAAACCTTGGAAACATTTAATGACGTGTAGATATGTTCTAACATGGTGTAAAATAGGAAAATAAATTACACAATAGGATGTTGTATATGATCCAAATCTTATTAAAATTTATGTGCATTTTTTAAAGTCGGGATGAAAACCAAATAGTTAAAGGCAGTTGGATCAGGATAGTAAGAAAACATGACTCATTGCGCTTCCTTTACATTTTCAAGGTGAATACATGGGTTTGTTTTTTTTTTTAATTTTTTATGGTCTGTTTTTTATGTTTGAGAGACAGAGAATGAGTGGGGGAGGAGCAGAGAGAGAGGAGGAGACAGAATCGGAAGCAGGCCCCAGGCTCCTAGCTGTCAGCACAGAGCCCGACGCAGGGCTCACACTCGCGTACTACGAGATCATGACCTGAGCCGAAGTCGGATGCTTAACCAACTGAGCTACCCAGGCGCTCCTTTGTTTGTTATTTTTGTTTGGTTGGTTTTATATTCTTTCTCTCTTCCTCCCTCTCTCTCTCTCTCCTTCCCCTTCTCCTCCTTTCCCCGTTTCCCACTTTCTCCCAGAGTGAGACAGGTTGTGCTCTGTGTCCCCCTGTAGCTCTGTTCCACCTTTTCCCTGGTGCGTGGCCCTTGCCCGAGACCCCGCAGTGGTCCTCAGCCTCCCCAGCCCAGCACGGAGCCAGGAGGGTAAAGTGGAGGATGGCTGTGGAAATACACAGGAAGAGCAGTTTTCACATTTCAAAAGCCTTTATAAACCCAGCAGATCGGTAGCTTATTTTATACACTTATTAGGACAAAGAAAGATGCATGTTGGATGCTGGGGAGAGTTAAATGGATGCACTAAGGACACAAATTAGAGGTAGAAAAAAATTAAGACCTACGATTAGTAATCTGTGCTTCTGCATAAAGGAAACTGTCTTGATGAATTAATAAGTAGCGGGGGAACCCTCTGGCATCAAAGCCTCTGCTGACATAAAAATACTTCATAGCTGTTTTTTTAAACAGAGGCATCCTTCATGTGATGATGAGTGTGACGTGTCACATTAATCAGGGAAATTTGCATAGAGGCTTAGATGGTATCAAGAAATTGTTGATAATTTTCTTAGTGGTGATAATGGCATTTAGTTACATAAGAAAATGTCCTTTTCAATGCATATGGAATTATGTAGGGATAGAATGACAGAATGTCCAGAATTTAGTTAAAACAGAAAAAAAAAAAAGAGAAAAAAGCACAGTGGATGTAACATCAGGGCATTTTTAGAGACGGGCAGTGTAGACACTAACGGAATCCTTCCTGTAATTGATGTCCTGAGGGACATGCGTCCTGTGATGTGCAGAGTATCTGTTTGGGCCCCGTTAACGGTTAGGTTTCTGAGCTGTGCTGGTATCAGACCACCGGGGAATTAGCAAGAGAAATGACTTATGGACACTCCTGAGAATTGTGGCTGTGGAAAGCCCTGGTCCAGGTCTCACCAACCAGTGAGTTTAAATCCAGAGCACGTTTTCTTTTTTTTCTTTTTCTTTTTTTTTTTTTTTCATTTCTAGGAGAGAGAGAGAGACCACGTGAGCAGGGGAGGGTCAGAGAGAGGAGGGAGTCACAGACTGAAACAGGCTCCAGGCTCTGAGCTGGCAGTCAGCACAGAGCCCGATGCGGGGCTCGAACCCACGAACCGCGAGATCATGACCTAAGCGAAAGTCGGACGCTTAACCGACTAAGCCACCCAGGCGCCCCCGGAGCACGTTTTCTTTAATACACAGATGATGATGATGACCGGGGCCTCCGATGGCCAGCACAGGAAAGGGAACGGCCGCTCAGCCGGCTCCCAGAGGTTCCAAAGCATCGCTCCAAGATGGTGCCTTAGCTATGCTCAGGGTGAGGCCCCCATCTTTTCCATCGAGCCTCTTGGCCGCCACCACCTGGGCCAGAAGTGCTCCCCCGGGCACAGCTGCCTCCCTGGTGTCTCCTGTGCCTGCGACCATGCCTCCGACCCTGAGGAGCTCCCCCTTTGTCCCTCTCTCCTGTGACAGGCATGAGAACTTAGTTCTTCACAGGCTGTTCCTTGGGTCAAAGCTTTATGAAAGTTTACGGAATAAAAGCAGGTGAAACACCAACAGTGTTGGTGCCCCCAAGGGGGTCTCGCCACCACCTGACGCTAGGTTTTGAGAAGGAAAAATGTCACCATCACACAG